TCCACCTGTGAGTATTCCATCTGAAAAATGTACCTCTAACCAAAGTAAGGAATGAAAGAAGCTCCAGAAATACTGGGCCTAAAGTTCCTTGGCTTCCACACCAGAGATGCTGAAACTAACAGCGGAGGAATACAACAGGTGGCGACAGTGGTCCAGAATGTGACAGTTAGAGGTAATGATATGTTCTGCATACTGTGAATATATTTTTTGTGTCTGTATTTAATTCAGATGCCTGACAACCTGCTTCATAATGAAATCCCACTTTGTAGCAGAAATGAAATTTGACTCTTATCCAGCAGAATCTAAACTTTCTGTTAATATATTGGGCCCCTCACTACAAGACAGACACTGAGTTGCTGGAGCATGTCCAGAGAAGGCCAGCGAAGCTGGTGAAGGGTCTAGAGCACAACTCTTATGAGGAGCGGCTGAGGGAACTGGGGTGGTTTGGTCTGGAGGAGGCTGAGGGGAGACGTTATCACTCTCTACAACTACCTGAAAGAGGGTTGTGGCGAGGTGGGTGTTGGTCTCTTCTCCCAAGTAACCAGCGATAGGACGAGAGGAAATGGCCTCAAGTTGTGCCAGGGGAGCTTTAGACTAGAAATTAGGAAGAATTTCTTTACTGAGAGGGTGGTCAAACATTGGAACAGGCTGCCCAAGGAGATGGTGGAGTCACCATCACTAGAAGTATTCAAAAAACATGTATATGTGGCACTGCAGGACATGGTTTAGTGGGCATGGTGGTGCTGGATTAATGGTTGGACTTGATGATCTTAAAGGTCTTTTCTAACCTTAACGATTCTGTGATTCTGTGAATTGCTCACCACCTGGTGATCGATAGCCTTTCCCCGAGCAGTGATTTCCCCCCACCCCGGGTCAACTCCAGTTTCTATACTGAGCATGATGTTATATGGTATGGAATATCCCTTTGGCCAGCCTGGGTCAGCTGTCCTGCTGTGCCCCCTCCCAGCTTCTTTTGCACTTCCTTGCTGGCAGAGCGTGGGAATCTGAAAAGTCCTTGACTTAGTTGTTGTGAAGTAGTGGTAGTGCTTATACTAAAAACTTCAGTGTGTTATCAACATTATTCTCATACCAACTCCAAAGCACAGCACTATACCAGCTATTGGGAAAAAACAACAACTCCATCCCAGCTGAAACCAGGACAAGAAGGTATTGACTGAGCACCTACTTGGAAAGCAGAATGGAGTACCATCAAAGGTTTCTAAGATCATTTCATTTTTAATTGTCCTTTTTTTTTTTTTTAGACATGGAACTGAGCCTGTCAATTGTAACTGAGTTTTAAGAGAGCTTATTAGCTATGTCTGGTGTCATTGGTTTTGATTTTTCAAATTGTAATCCTTGTGTGTTCTCACAAAGTGAGAGAATATACACAATGCCTAATGCTTGAAATGGAAGTAATTTTTTCAATGAAAATTTCAAGAATTTAAATAATCTCTTCACGTTGTTTCTTTTATCTGCCACCTTCAAGCCCATTTTCTGTTCTGCAATCCCTGTTGGTGGTGTAACTTGCAGGTATATTAAGTTTTTCAAAAGACTTGAAGGCCGTTTTATGATTCCACAGAAATTTCATCACTTGAGGACCCTGCTTCAGTTCTTAAATTTTGAACTACATATGGCATGTGGCCTTCCTCATTCAGACACTCTGGTGTGTGGCAGCCAGTAGCGCAGGTATCTGAGAAAGCATCTTCCACCACTGCTGCTCCCGCTACATGGATATTACAAATGCTGCCTCTCTTACTCTGTGTTGGGTAGGACTACAAGCTGCGTCGTTCCCTTGTCTCTTCACAGCTCTGAGAATCCTTATGACCATACTGCTTGCAACAGGCACTTGGGAGACAAAAGGTGTTTTCCTGTCCTGATGAAGCAACTGGCTCTTTCTCCTCCTTTTCTTGTCCCTGAATTGAGTCTTGGTGTCTGTATTAAGGTTACTATTCAGAAGTGACAGAATTCATTTGGGAGATGGGGTGGACTTTGCTGTTTGACAGAGCTCTGCTTCCTCAGGACTAGCTGAAGACTCCCCATTCTCTAATCATAAGAATGATTGGCATCCCACTCCCCTGATAAAAGCCTCTGTGTTCTGTGGTCCCACAGCAGTGTGTGGATTTGAGAGTTCTTACACTTCATGGAAGGGCCTACAAACCGTGCTTACATACTGTATGCAGCATGCGAGTCACCCCCTTGTCCCTTGAATGACTGCTGATTTTCAGGCCAGATGCTTTCTGCGTGGTGGATATGTGTAGAGGGATGCCAGGTCTTCAGCCTTTGCACCACAAGGCTGTTCTTGTGATCATATCTTGCTTTGTTTGCAGAGCACAGTATGCTTCAGCTCAGGATCTTCATGTAGTAAGGAACTAATGTCCTAAACAGGAATTAGGAGTTTAAATATTTCCTGAATCTGATGTGATGTATTTAAGGAGGCTATAAAATTGCTCATGACCAGGTATTTCATTACCTATCTAAAGGCATTGTACAATTCTGTGGTTAGTTTATAATGTGCACTGACTTATTGTATTTCTTGTTCCAGTGTATTAAATATGATTGTTAGTGTGAGGCAGGCTTAATGCTATTCCTTTTTTTTTTTTTGTACTTGATAACCACATGGTATGGACATCAAGACTGCTTTCTTATTTAAATAGTAGGTAAGTACAAAGTGATTAGTTTACCTTCCTTCAAGAATTAAAGAAATTATAAGCTGTTTCTAGACATTTTGAGGGAAATAATGAGTATTTCCTGGTGGGTGATTTTTTAATTTTTTTTTTTTTAAAGTTAACTTCCACCTCCTCCCCAAATAACTAGAACATATCAATGACTCAACATTTTTAAAGCATTTTCTATTATTTGTTGAACTGGAAATATGCTGCTTTTGGGGACGTACTATAACGGGGTTTTCTGGAAGCTCATCATGGGACAGGATTTTGATACCTCAACCTAAGCACAAATGCAACACTGTCTCCTACTGGTAGGAGTGTTTCCTTGTATATGGCAGAGCTCTGCTATGCTGCTAACAGTTTTATTTGGGTATGGTCTTAAGTTTGGTTCCTACGGATATTGTGGTATTATTCCTTTCTTCTCTTTCCTTCTCCTTTTTTTCACCTCTGATATTTTTTTCCCTTCAACAAGAGAGTCATCAAAATACGTTTTTGGGTTTTTTTTGCATATAGTTCTTGTTTTGCTTCTTTGACTCCTGGTGCTACATCCTCATGAGCAATTTTCATATTTACCTATGGGATTAATGATTAAAAACAGGAACAAAATATCCACATAAGGAAATTCACAGTAGATGGATTCCGTAGAAGGACTTACTTTCCTTCAGCAGAACCAAAAATGACTTTCAGTTTTTTTTCTTCTAGAATGTTTTTTGCTCAAAAAAGCATTGAAAGATTGATGCCTGGTTTTGTTAGTCAGACCACGGAAGGTGTGCTTTACTTCTTTGCTTGCTTTCCAAGTTTGAGTATGCAGGGCATTTGGGAACAGTGTTAATATATAAAATGCTAGGCTGGCCTTACAAGCCTTACTTTTCCTACCTCCTGGAAATATCAGTTGATTGCCCTGCAGTTAGCCCTTTCATTGTGAGTCAGTTGGTACCAATCCTCTTCAATTTTGAGTATGTCTGAATGTTAACGGTATGAAACTCAGCAATAAATAAATAAACCATGTTTCCAGTTTACTGGAATAATAATACCAACCATTGGATGATCTGGTATGTTTCCAGAGACTGAAGTAATGGTCATAATTGTACTTGAAATTGTATATTTAATGAAGTCTGTATAAACATTTTTGAGTAGTGTTTCATTAGTGTACGGGAGATTGTAGATTGCTGCCTGGTGATGTTTCCTGTGTTTAAAATGATTTTTTTTTTACCTTGCCATGAAATATAACATTTATTTCTCATCAGGCCAAACCATCTATAAAATGTTTTTATTCATTTAAGAATATAAACGCAAAAGAGTATGGTATTGCTTTGGATTCTTGTGGAAAATATGAACAGTATATCCATGTTTTTTTAACAGTGGGAAGAGAAGCAGTTTGGCTGTGGCCCAGTAAGCAGGGCATAGCCAGGAGTTGGTCAGATGAGGTTCTAGCCTTGCCTTGTGGTGCTGAGATGTTTACGTGTGTTGGTCTTCCCCATCACTGCTCTAATGTCTCTGGCTTGTTTTGACTGTAATCTTTTGGCATAGGTAGCATGTAGCAGACAAGGAGTCTTGTCACGTAGTACTGAGTTTAGGCCCAGAGGCACTGATTTAAATGTATCTAATGTGTGAAATAGGATGAAAGAGATTCTAGAATGGTGTACAAAAATAATTTAATACTGTGAATGCAATGCATACCTTCTGTAATGTCGTCTGTGTGTCTTTGAAGAAGACAGTATAAGAGATAGGTGATGACCAGAGAATTTTTTTATTCTGAATGTTTTTCTTTGTTAAATAATAAGCAGCTCAAGTGTCATGTTCCGTTCAACTTTGTTAGACTTCCTTACCTGACCAAGAACACAAGTAAAGGAGATCTTATTTGACGCATTTATAGTAACACACCTTCACTGTCTTTTAAAAGTAGTCTGAGTTCTTGAGAACAAAAATAGTGAAAATGTTTGGAGGGCCAGAAACTTACATGCATTTCCTTCCCTGGAAATTAATGAGAGTATAGATGACCACTTAAATTGTTCGTATGATGTCTGTATAAATGAAATGTGTGAAAACTTAAAACCATTGTGAATTTTAAACTCAGAACGGCTGGTCATATTACTATGAGAATAAAAACTTGTTCACAAATAGACACTACCTTCTGAAAATTTTGACTTTAATTTTAAAATGTCACCTTCTTTCACAGCTAAATTCTAGTCTGAGGAAGTTCTTGGGGAGTGAGCATACATATGTGTTATGTGATTTTTGTATGGAAGCAAAAGGAGAAAGGAAATATGACACTTTCTCTATAAACATGTATTTAAGTATTACAGAAACATAACTTTCACATTGGTGTTTCAGGAAAACCAGATGCCTCTGCCAAAACTCTTCTGGATCAGGAATGTATAAACCCTATGAGTTACTCAAGCCAGCTAGAAGACTCTGGATGTGATGTGTCTAATGACTATGCATTCGATTCTTTAGGCATAGCTTCTGATTTTCACCAATACGAGCATAATGTTGACACTTCTAAACGTTGGTTGGAAAGAGTTCCCCCATTGAATCTTTGCTGTACTAGCAAGGAAGAATCTCTGACTGCTCCAGTGCAGTTTTTGCAACATCTGCTTGAAATAAGAAAACTGTCAGAAGGAGGAATTCTTCAAGCAGACTTCACAGAGCTTGAGAATGATTCTTTCACTGTATGCAATTCAGTGTCTCAGTTGCTTGATGGACTGACTGTTTTTTACAACAGTCCTAAATTTCCAGTTTCAAATTTTCTTTCTGAAGCAGTTTGTGTTTTGACCAGTTTAATAACTGATAATAAATTATCTAATCATGTTTTGAAGAAGTGTTTCAAGAAGCTGGAAGAATTTAAGAAAAATCTAATTCAGATTATTTTAAGAAACAGCAGTGTCAATAGAGTAAGTATAAAACATCTTCCATTTTTCCTACACAATTTGTATACCATACTGTAATATTCTCCTGCTTTTATGTGCTTTTAAAAGTATTAGTTTGTCTTACTAGATTTTGAAGAGTACTTCTCAGATTTTTGAATTGTTATTTTTTGTGATACAGACAATAAATACTCTAAAGCATTTGAAAAAGTTCTTGCTCATGCATGCAAGTTCTTCTAGTCCATTCCTGAGTATAGGACTTTTAATCTGCCTTTTTAACAGTTTTTAAAACAACTTTATAGAAAATATGAGACAAAACCACTTTGTTTGTCTTGCTATATGAAGATATAGTGTAGATATTCACAAAGTAGTGACTATACAATTTTTTATTCTTTCTTGTGCACCTAGCTTAATAGCTTGGTTTGCTTCAGAAGATCTCCGTCAGTCTAGACATTTGCAAATTTGTTTAAAAAATAAATCAGCAAATGAGTGAAGAATTCAGAAGTGGCATGTACCCAGCACAAACAGCAAATAGGACTGAGCTGCATTTTGTCTGTATTCATAATTTTTCATTGTTCCATGCTTCATCTTGTTAGTTACCTCATTCAGCTGAAATATCCCTAGTCTGTCTTCACAAGACTTCCCATAAGTAATGAATTCCATTGTCTGTCTTAGGATTTTTGGTTTTTATTCCATCTTTTAGAGTTACTTGGAACACGCATGATGGTGGGATTGTTTGAACTTAGACGTACCGATTTAGTGTCCGTATGTGTGTAACTACACTACCATTATAGTAAATGAACATCATATCCCTCTAATCTGTGGAGCCTAAAGAATGCTGACCAGGTACTAGGTCCCTATTTTAGGATGAGCTCTAGAGTTGGGTTTAGCAAAATCAGAGTCTAGACATCTGCTATACCTGTGGACAGATGTACCTATTTGTCTTAATTTAAAATGAGTCCCACTCATTGTGTATTGTGTATTTTATCGCAGAATGTAAATATCAAACAAATATCATTATCAAACTAGGGGAGAAGGGGCATATGCCTGTATTTTGGTTAGATGTAGGAAAACAAAAGCATTCAGAAGGAAAACTTCATATACTGAAGATTTTCCAGGACTAGAGCCTTGTGTCTCTAATACCAGGGTGCCTTATATTTCAGTGTCACCATGGTGTGATACTTTAGTTTTTAATTAGAGGTGTCCCTAGCCAGTGTTTTGAAAGGATGTGAGCATACATACCATTTGTGTGGTATTAGGAATAGAGTAATGCAGGTGTGACTCCTTTTATTTTTTGTGTGATTACAGGATACAGAACAAAGAAAACTTGAGCAGGCACTCAGTAAGGACTTCTTCATATTTGATGATGTCCAGTGATTCCACCTGTTCCCCCCCTCTATCTGAATGGGAAGTTAATAAATAATTAAAGTTAATTGTAGGAGCGCAACCAAGAGGTTATCCAGAGAGGGATTACTTGGTGATTGGAGGAACCTGGGAAGAGTACAGAAAGAAAAGCAAAGTTTAAGTGAGAGGTGTTACATCTTAAATGAGAGAAAATACCCTCATAGATTAAGGACGTTTCAAGTCTGCAAAGTGCTTTAAGAAATTCAGGAAGGAGGTAGTATGTCTACATAATTTGCAAGTGGCACCTTTTCTCTGAATAACTTCTCTGAAACAGATGGATTTTTATGAGATGTTTTATATCTTGCTTCCACCAAAATATTGACTTAATAGTCATTCCTATCGGCAGCCTTTACTTCAATCAAACAGACTCAAAGAGTTTAAAAATTGTATAAACCAATTCTTAAGGAATAATCGTGATAGCTTCCATATTTCTGGGAAAAAAGGGGAAATCTGTGTAGTAATTGAGATATTTATAAAGATTTATTGAAAAATTCTTTTTAGAGGTTTGTTTTTCTTTAAATTGAATTGAATATGGAAATAAATATGTAGAATTCGGAATTAGTAGAGGAATTTGTATAACTAATTCTTCATGTGCTGTGTACCAGAATATCTCCCAGGGACACTTTATGCTTCAGTTTTAATCATCAATGTTTACTCAAGTGGTGATTGAAATATCAAGATTATAGGTTTAAAATAAAATTACCATTAATTATGAGCTGTCATCTGGAA